AATGAAACTTAAGATCGGGTCCTAAATGCACAATATGTAGTCCAAACTGCTACCATGAGACATCCAGTTGGATGAATTCATGTTGCAAGTGCTGATTGGATTGCATTAAATGGATTACTCTTTCAAAAGAAAAATGTCATCAGCAGTCAATCCATTGATAAAAACATTTATTCAAAGGAATTAACTTTTAAGAATGTGAATAATAAGACTGGATATAAGAACTTGCCCTGCACTAAAGAATCAGAATAAAAATCCAGTGCAGTGGCTCCCAACCTCTGGGGTCCTAGACTCCCCCAGGGGGGCCGCCAAAGATCTCAGGGATGGCACAAGGCTTTGTCTGCGGTTGTCAAAATGAGATTTGCACATATTAACTAAAATCATGACAACACCATAGACTGTAACTATTACTGGACGAACCCTGACCCGTCTGTGACATAGGCAGAAAATGAGTCCAATCGACGGCCGCATCCATATTGGATTTGCAGTCTCAGCCTAACTTCGGATCAACCTAACGACAGCAGTAAGGCGGGATCGGCGGGACTTCAGCTCGACGTTAGCAGTCCACTTGACAGCATAGCTAACGGCTAGGCTGCTATCATCAACTATTCCTGCTCGTCGTATAAAGAGTAAGTTAACATTTAACTTTTCTACAACACAGTTAAAACTAATTATATTCAACCCAAATATTTAATTAAAGTCTTAAAACTACACTTTTTTAAATATACAATCATGGTTATTAGTTATTTGTCAGAGCAGTTAGACTTTGTCAGTGTCAGCAGAGAAATACATTAACAAAGTTTTATCCATAAACTGTAAATAAATGTGAGACATCCAGAAGAAATCAATATTACAAAGCATACAGTTCATGTTACTGTTTTATATTTACTGATGTCAACAGCGATGAGGTGAACATGACAACTAAAAAATAATTATTTAGTATTTATTATAAGACATTTGTTTTCTATTGAACCCCGTGAAGTCATGGAGTCTGTGGACAGTGTCAGCTTCACACCAAAAACTTTAAGTATTAGAAAAAATAGTGTTTAAGACTGGCATCTATTATTATTGAGTTGCAGCTACCTTGTTCAATATTATTCCTGCAGATGTGGCTAATAACAAAAAAACACCCTGAGCTGTCACATGTAGTTAACTGTACATTTTGTCTTGTCTGAGGCATTAATTGAACACCTTTGTATTTCTCCTATAGACACAGTGTGGATTATTGGTGACTGGTCCATCGAGGTGCCCAGAGAGCTGCAGAGACAGAGGAAGAAACCTGAGCCTCAACAACATCTGCATTTGTTGGTTCTTCTGGGGTGGACTTCAGTTGCTTCTCTTCAACAGCTCGCTATGAGGGAGGTCTCCCCCGGATGGCCTGAGTGATGTCACCCACAGGCTGAGAGCTGGCGCTGAGACGGGTTTTAAGCCTTTTGACAAACCGTTACACCGCACCCGCCTGTCAAGCTAGTCAGCTACACGCCTTATTGTGAATAACTCTTATCCTTCATCAAATCAAAACTGATGAGTCATCAAAACATTCACCCCCCCGTACAGTGTGTGTCCATCGAGACATGAGCTAATCACACCTATTTGTTTGTTTTGTACCAAGCTGTAAACGTGTTCATCTCTGCTGTAAAAACAGACTTTTTTTAATGTTGTTTTTCAGATTAAATAAATATTTCTATATAAATGCACTCCTTTATGTCTACTTATGAGTATACATTTCAGATTTGAAAAGGACAAGACTAAAATGTGCATTAATGCTAAACTCAATAGCTAAGGGAAGGAAGTCTACTTTTACACAACTTCTTATTCTTTTGATAAATACTAATGTAGTTCATTTCTGAAAGTGGGATGGAACAGAGTCATTACAAAAATATGCCCTTAAACACAGTCCCATTCTTAAATCAAGATACATGGAGAGTAAATAAGATCAATAACTTGTGAATAAAAACACAGTTAGAAATGATTTAGAAATGTAGTCTTCCCTGATCAATATCACATAATATCAACTTCTCCCATCTAAACTGGACAAAGGGTTTTAAAATGGGAAGAAAATGGTTTGAGGAGATCTAGTTTTATTTGAACAGCTGAAGCATGAATACAGTCTTCCAAGGTGCAAACCCTCCTCCTTCTTCTGAAGCTTGTGGAGCTCCTTGATGTACTGCTGTCTTATCTGTTGGCCATCTTCTCTCACCAGAACTTTGACTGTTGAAAAGTCATTCAGAAGAAGCTCGAGCATGTGACATGGATCCAGGAGAACATGGACTTTTAGTGAGGGGTCTTCAGGATGGCAAAGAAAGAGAGAAAATATCAGTTATTCATTAAATCATTTTGTTTGTTCTCATCTATTTTTCTGTATTCATCTGTGTGTAAGATTACATTTATAAATTCAACAGTGTACTACCCAGACAACAAAGGTACAGTATTCAGGTAATCAACATCTATTCAAAGTTAAGAAGATAAACATTATTGTAATCATGCTGTTTTCAGCTCTCTCACTCACACAATGATATTCCACATCAAATGGTCTCAGATTTTGTGTGAGGAAAAATTAAGCAGTTTATTGTGGATAGTACTTCATCTTAACATGAAACAAATATAACCTGAATTATTTAAATCATTAACAGGTCCCAACTCTCTGTGCTTTAGTACAGAACATACAGTAACTCATTTATTATTAACATGAGCTCTGTACATGGCTGTATTCTTCAAACTATTTCTTATACTTTATATCTATGTGCTTTATATCTTATTTTCATTCCATATGTTATTTATATTTTATATTTCTACTGCTATATTCTGTGTATGAGTTCAGTGAAAATTAATATGGTTATTAATATAGTTCTTAATGGTTACAGATGCTCTTACAAAGTGAAGTTTTTTTAAATTTGTTAACAGTTTGCTCAAATCTTAAGACACTACATCAACCATGTAACTTTAATGTCATCCTCTATAACCTACACAGCACATTAGGTTCAGTTCAGTTTATGTTACTGACGGATAATTACTACACAAAGTTTGTTTTTTAATGTCCACATTTACGTGGAGTATAACATTCATCATAACGTCAGATAACCATATTTACAGTCTGTGGTTAACCACCGAGGTGAACCTTTAGCCTCTAACATCACACAAACTCACTATTTTCAACATCTTAACAACAAACATTTCTAAACCATTGACTGTAAATAATGAGCTACACAGTTAGTCGACTGGTTTACAAGCTAATGCTAAACAAGCTAGGTCCGTAAATATAAATACAGACACTGAGTAAGCAGTAAATATAACACTACTATATCACTTACCGAAAAAAACTGAAGCATCAACTTGTTGGATGGTCTGTTAACCGCACAGCAAGCCATGTATGTTGTCAGATATGTGTTAAACAAACTCTCCAAATGATGTAAAAAAGAGGAGAAATCAGACGGATCAAGCTGTTAGCCTCCTGACCTGCTGACCGCGCAGAGCTGTCAATCAAATCTGACACAACCAAATATGGGCATAGTCGTTTTCCTTAAAATAATAAAATCCGATGAGTTATAAAAAAATTCACCCCCCCACAGTGTGAGGAGAAGGGGCCGTCAACTTCTCAGATATATCTCGTTTTTTGAACCAGGCTGTAAACATGTTGATTCCTGTGGTAAAAACTGACTTTTTTGGCTGTGGGCTTATGGCACTTCCGGCGCTTCTGCAGCCAGTGTGGAACCTCGTGGAACTGCAGTTTTTTGTACTTCCGCATAGGCTTCATTTTTCAAGACCGGAGGTTGCCCCTTGGATAACACACATGGTGGATAGTTTATACAAAGTTATTTTGGTATGAACGTGTGTTTTGGTATGAACTGTGGTCTAGTGGTTAGTTCGCAGACCCCATATACACAGGTTGTAGTAAATCTTTAAAAGTTTGTTTGGCTGTATTCTGTTGGGATTTTATCATTAAAAACTATTAATCATGTTAATTTTTGACAGTAATATGTCTTCTTGTCTTCAGAGACAAGTTGTTAAGATTTCGTTGTCTATGACAGATGTGTCTTTTCCTGTTCCCATGAATGACAGATTTCTTTGTAGCACATGTTGCGTTTAGCAGATGACCAGAGAAAATAGGCAAAGCAGTAGTCGTGGATGCCCGGGCTCTGTGGCCACGCTGAAGCGTCAGAGCTTGTTCTGCTGCAGTTTCGGATTCAGACTCTTTTAAGCTTGGATTTTCGGGAAAAAACCTTTTTGTGCCTTTAATGGAGAGATAGGACATTGGATAGAGCTGGAAATCAGGGAGAGAGAGAGTGGGGAATGACATGTGGTAAAGGAGCCACAGGCTGGATTTGAACCTGGGCCGCCCCCTTGGAGGACCATAGCCTCCATACATGGGGCGCGCACACTAACCACTGCACCACCAGCGCCCCATTGCAGGGGATTTTGGCACATTTTTTAGGGCGCTACCCACACGTTTTGCTGTGTTGCACATTCCACGAATGAACAATCCTTACAAGTTATATATATAAAGGTGACTAATCAGGCTTTCCAACGATATAAAATACAACACCAATTAGTATTATTACAGGGGCGAAATAAGTGACCGAAATAACGTTTCCAACCTTTTTTGAGGAGTTTAGATACAACAGGAGGGGGCTCCAAGGAAAACGGAATGGGGACCACTGGACTGGTTGATCAAACTACCTTTTCATGGTTACCTTTATGCTCAAAAACTCATTGTCCTCTGGCATTTTAGTCCCAGATGTTTACTAAAGGTGGTTCAAAAGGGCTAGTCGGAGGATAGAGTGATGTGCAAACTAGTGAAGAACGAGAGGTCTCCATTATGTTTCAACACTGACCTGAGATTGATTGTGGCACCATAAAGTATATTGACTCAGGACTTTGTTTGCATGCCAGAACTGATTGAATTTTATCCATTTGTCTTGTTTAAATTAATAAGTAACTCTTGATGTCATACTTGATGTATCAGTGCTTTCAATGACCCATTTATGTGGTTCACCAATGAATGCTTCACATTGTCTTTGGACACACAAACAGGCGTATAAATTCTGACACTCACTGAAAGATCTGCAGCTTCAACTATTCCAGTCCTAGACTCGGCAGTAGCTCCAAGGTTAGCACAAAGACGGATAAAGTATTGAATTGTTTGCATTGCATTGAAAATGTGGTTGAAGACGTGTCTTTTTTTCTTTTTCAGAAAGTTGATATCGTGGATGTGGGCAATAATGGCGGTGCCTAGGAGTGTGTTATTACTCCTGCTTTTACAGTTTTTTACTGTAAGAACATCAGGTAAACAGTTTGATTTCATTTTATCATGAATCTTTTCTCCTATTTGTTTCTGTTAGTTGCATTTTACCACCCCAGTGATAATTTGAAGCTGTCATTCTTACATTAGTTAAATACTAAAAGTTAAGAAGTAATTTTTCAGCACCAACAGTAGTAGTAGTCTTGTCTTGCACATAATTTAAATTATATTCTAAGGATATCAGTATCACATTTGTATGTTTTTCAGATGTGCACTATTCTGTAATATTCAAGCAGAAAAAACAAGTTGTTCTAAAAAAAAGTTAATGTAATTTACGTCACTCTCATGTAATAGAGTTACTTTTTAAATTGAAAAGTTTTTATTTTACGATTGTTGTCCTCTGCACAGGAACACTTGTCTCCAGCTGTGATTCATGTCACGATGAAGCCGCCTGCCACGAGTCTAAAGAAAGAGGCGACACTTTCTCAAACCAGACGCTCTCTTGTCTCTGTAACGATGGTTTTGTAGGTGATGGCCTCATGTGTTACAGTATAAAACTCTGTAGTGACTCTTCTTGCTGTAAAGAAGGTTATCAGTGGTCACCAGACAGGGGCTGTGTGGACACGGACGAGTGCTCTCTTACAGACTCCCCATGCAAACCATCTCAGGTTTGCACAAACACTCCAGGCTCTTTCGTATGCTTGGAGCCTTCCCCCAGCTCCAGATCAGGTCCCTCCTCCCAGTCTGTCCAGTTCAGCTGTGGATCCACTGTGTGTCCTTCAGGCACAGACTGTGTCAGAATGAATGGGACTCTCCAGTGTGCTGACCCCTGCCAGGAGTACACTGTGCTGAATGATGACTGGCGATCAACAAATAACACGTCCACCCAGAACCTACACTGTGACCAACATGTTGACTGGCAAGGCTGGTATCGGCTGTTTCTGGGGCAAACCAGTGCTCAGATTCCAGAGAGGTGTGTGGCTGAAAACAGTTGTGGAACCCATGCTCCTCTGTGGATAACAACTCCTCATCCCACACAGTCAGGTCAGATTGTGAGCCGCACTGTGTGTGGCTCATGGTTAGGAAGCTGCTGTTTTTTCTCCTCACACACCATCCATGTCAAGCTCTGCTATGGAAACTACTTCGTCTACAAACTTGTGCGGCCAATCTCATGTTCGCTTGCATACTGTGCAGGTATTGTTCCATTAGTGACATTAACTCTGTAACCACATATTTACATTTTTCATCTAATTCAGTTATTTAAAGAATGACTCTATTGTCCTGTTGTTCTTAATTCTGATTAGAAATGTTCCTTTAGTTAAGCAATGGTATCTCCTTGTTTTCATTGTAACCAGAGGTGAACGAAGCAACTCCTGAAAATCCTTCAACCACACCTGATCCAAGTACAGCGACCTCTTCTGCCAGTCAGGTCAATATCACCTCCACCACAACACCCGACAACAGCTCAGCAGTTGAGGGTGAGGTCCGTCTGGTTAACAGAGGGAACCAGTCCTGCTCTGGCAGAGTAGAGATCTTCCACCGTGGACAGTGGGGGACGGTGTGTGATGATCAATGGGGCCTGGCTGATGCTCAGGTGGTGTGCAGACAGATGGGCTGTGGCAGGGCTCTGTCAGCACCATCAGTTGCCTATTTTGGACAGGGCAGTGGACCCATCTGGATGGATGATGTCTCTTGCACAGGCAGTGAATCAAAGCTTGGAGAGTGCAGGCACAGAGGGTTTGGATCACACAACTGTGGACACAATGAAGACGCTGGTGTCGTCTGTGAAGGTAAATATAATTGTTATGATCTGTCAAAAGTAGGGCTTGACCAATATGGTATTTTTGGAGGCTATACCGATATTGATATTGGGGAGAAAAGAAAATCCAATACGGCTATATCAGCCGATATCTTTTTGTTAGATATATGTTCGATCTGTAGAAATTATAAAACTAATACAAATCTATTTTGCTGATCCCTCAAATGAAATTATCAAACACTGAAAATATATACATTATAAGGAGGACAAGATGGTCACTCCACTCGAAAGTTACTGTTCATGTACTTGCATCAGTGCTTGACAATCTGGAGAGTGATAATGCTTGTTGTAATCCATATAGCGCCCTCTGCTGGTGAAAGAGAACTTCTAGTGTAATACAATGAAACTCAAATATCATGACAGAAGTCACTCTTTCTTGTGTCTCTCATCATCAACATAATGCCTCATGTTTTCCGTCAGCTGCTGCACCAGTCAGGCTGGTCAACTCTAATAACCGCTGCTCTGGCAGAGTGGAGGTCTACCATGATGGTCTGTGGGGGACAGTGTGTGACGATGCCTGGGACCTCAGTGATGCTAACGTGGTGTGTAGACAGCTGGACTGTGGCCCTCCTCGTTCAGCATTACTAAATGCAGCTTTTGGACAGGGCAGTGGACCCATCTGGTTGGATGATGTTGGTTGTTCCGGCAACGAAACATCAATAACAGAGTGCAGACATCCAGGGCTTGGGGTCCACAACTGTAATCACGTTGAAGATGCCAGTGTCATCTGTGAAGGTTAATGTTTATACTTTTTTTTTTAAAACTCCTATTCTTGTTCTCCTATTTGTCTTTTGAAGTGTTCTCGTGAATGAAGTCAAACACTGACCACATGTAATAAATGTTGTTTTGTAGCACTGTACGTTCAATGTGCAGTACTAGGTATAATATTTTAAATATATGGATCAAGATTTATGCCCAACTCTAACTTGACTGATGTGTGTGATAAAGAAAGAGATCATTTGCTCATAAATATTGATAACAATGTAGACTGTAGTTGTGTAAGGACTTGATAGAGACTCTTCTTTTAGGTCAACCAGAATCTAACAGCACAGTTGTACCCACCACTCCTGATCCCAGACCTGGGAACATCACCACCGCTGAAGTGACAGCTGACATCCTCTCCACCACAACACCCGACAACAGCTCAGCAGTTGAGGGTGAGGTCCGTCTGGTTAACAGAGGGAACCAGTCCTGCTCTGGCAGAGTAGAGATCTTCCACCGTGGACAGTGGGGGACGGTGTGTGATGATCAATGGGGCCTGGCTGATGCTCAGGTGGTGTGCAGACAGATGGGCTGTGGCAGGGCTCTGTCAGCACCATCAGTTGCCTATTTTGGACAGGGCAGTGGACCCATCTGGATGGATGATGTCTCTTGCACAGGCAGCGAATCAAAGCTTGGAGAGTGCAGGCACAGAGGGTTTGGATCACACAACTGTGGACACAATGAAGACGCTGGTGTCGTCTGTGAAGGTAAATATAATTGTTATGATCTGTCAAAAGTAGGGCTTGACCAATATGGTATTTTTGGAGGCTATACCGATATTGATATTGGGGAGAAAAGAAAATCCAATACGGCTATATCAGCCGATATCTTTTTGTTAGATATATGTTCGATCTGTAGAAATTATAAAACTAATACAAATCTATTTTGTTGATCCCTCAAATGAAATTATCAAACACTGAAAATGTATACATTATAAGGAGGACAAGATGGTCACTCCACTCAAAAGTTACTGTTCATGTACTTGCATCAGTGCTTGACAATCTGGAGAGTGATAATGCTTGTTGTAATCCATATAGCGCCCTCTGCTGGTGAAAGAGAACTTCCAGTGTAATACAATGAAACTCAAATATCATGACAGAAGTCACTCTTTCTTGTGTCTCTCATCATCAACATAATGCCTCATGTTTTCCGTCAGCTGCTGCACCAGTCAGGCTGGTCAACTCTAATAACCGCTGCTCTGGCAGAGTGGAGGTCTACCATGATGGTTGGTGGGGGACAGTGTGTGACGATGCCTGGGACCTCAGTGATGCTAACGTGGTGTGTAGACAGCTGGACTGTGGCCCTCCTCGTTCAGCATTACTAAATGCAGCTTTTGGACAGGGCAGTGGACCCATCTGGTTGGATGATGTTGGTTGTTCCGGCAATGAAACATCAATAACAGAGTGCAGACATCCAGGGCTTGGGGTCCACAACTGTAATCACTTTGAAGATGCCAGTGTCGTCTGTGAAGGTAAATGTTTACTCTTGTTTAAGTAATCGCCAATTCTTGTTGCTCATATTAAAGAGGACATATTATATCCATTTTCCACCTTTTCGAACAGTCCCTGTGGTCCAAATGAAACATCTGTGCTGTGCTTTGGTCAAAATATAACATGAATCAAGCACCAGAGGAGGTTTGTGACCCTGTATAAACCAGTTCTCTCAGAACATTTCGTTTTGGTGTGTGTGTCTTTTTAAATGCAATGACCCCCTGAGATTTCCCGTTAGACATCACTCCTCTGTAACGAGAATAAAAATGGCAGATCTGCGCAAGAATTTTGTTCTAGGCTGGGGGTGGAATCCATTGGTTGAGGTACCAGGGGAGGGAAGGGTATATTTAATTTTTACCAGAATCCCACTGTGACATCACAAGGAGAGCAAATTTGAAACAGAGCATTTTTTCTCTGTGTTGTAAGACTTATGCCTACAAAAAACAAAGGACTGGATGGGTTTATTTCACGTTTTGTGGGTCAGTAGACACTCAGGTTACCCAAATATATGTTCAACAACACTGTCGAAGTGGATTTTTCATAATATGTCCCCTTTAAATTCCAATATTTGTACTAAAATGATTTTCTTTCAAATTTGTCCATTGTGAAGTGACAGTTTACAGAGTTTGTGATTTAGTTTCACAGGATATATGCATGATAATTTTTATTGTGTTCTCTTCCTTTTATTCTTTTATTTCCAGACTCTGCACTGCATGATCACCAGCTAATTTGCAGCCCTGATAAACTTCAAATGGGGCTGGATTTGGCTGACCTCACCTCAGGTTTGAACCCATACTCTGGCAACTTGGCATCTCTTAATTGCTCCTGGGCCAGAGTACAAAATAACATGGTGTGGTATGAAGTAGACGCTGTGGAAGGTGCCTGTGGAAACACTCTGACGGTACAGACTTAGTTGCTCTTTTATTTCTTAGCTTTTCCTTTGGAAATTAATTTCAACATTTTCTTTTGTCATGTTATTTTCCTTTAAATTGATTTTAAACATGCAGCTAATGGAAAAAAATTAAAAATCTGGACCTCTTTAAAATATTTATCCTATTGTCCCTCTTCTTTTACTGTACTCCAAGTTAAACCTTATAGCTTTTGGTTGGTCTGAGACTAAATTTAAGGTGCAAAGGAACTCATTATTCATTATCTTAAAACATTTTAAATATAGCTTCTCCCCCCTGTAGGGAAGTTTTTTCTCCCTCTCTTTGGTAATGCTTTTAATGCAGCTACTCACAACACTTCAACTAAAGTTTACATGTCTATGTACTTTCCATTAATTCAATCAACCCCTGTTTTTCAGACCAACCGCACACATACGATCTACTCCAACAGTCTATTTGTCTACCCTGTTATCAATGGGTCCTTTAACCTTCCTGTGAGCATCCCCTTCTCCTGTGCGTATCCCCTGGAAACAGACACCAGCCTGAATGTGGCTATCAGACCATTCCTGCCGTAAGTAGCCTCCCTCTTATTGATTGTTACTAACTATGCACTAGTCAATATGTCATGTGAACTGTTTAACTAATACCTGATAATACTTCTGAGATCTAATGTTGATATTAACTATATAACCAGGTGAATCATTTTTGATACACATGTCCTCAGTGAGTTCCTTTAGTTACATACAGCACATAGATAATCCACCAGGGGGCCCCATTAGACCTTTGGCATATCAAAAAAGAAGGTTTTCAGTTAGAGACTAAATGTACACTACATTTGCCATTTAAAATAAAAAGATAAAGCAAGGAAAACAATTCATATTGTTACTAAGATCATTTTTATATTCTTAATCGTTTTCATATTTTAAGTTTTGTGACTTATTTTTTACCTAATATAAACAGCGGGTAGGCCTTTGTTGTATGTACGCAATCTTTAGATGGCAAATACGTACAGCAATGAAGATGTTAAAAAATACAAAGCAGTCAGCAAATGGAAAATTAAAGGCGAGGGGATCTGAACCTTCAGTGGTCAAAATATTAAAATATTTTTTAATACTTTTTGAGAGATTCTCAAAGGTGTCCAGCACCCTGTTTTTAATGAACTGGATAAATCTGGTCAGCCTTTTTTCAGCCCATAATTTAATTGTATCATCTATTGTTTTTGGTTTAAAGTCTCTGTCACTTGCAATTTCTCTCAAGTACACCAGGTCTTTTTGGAGTTGCTTTGTTCGTGTAACTTTTACCCAGGCTCTTAATGTACTGCTAATGAAGATGTTGTCTATTCTATCGGAGGTAAGATTAATTACTTTTGTAAATATGCATTCATTTGTAAATGCACATGCTCCTTTTATATAAATGCTCCTTTTATTTGGGCACCTATGAAGTAGTTAGAGAGGTTTGGTAGGGCTAGTCCTGCAGATGTTTTTAATTCGAGCTTTTATCCCTCCCCAAACAAAAACCAGGCTTGATGAATAAAAACACAGTTGTGCTCGTTTGATCTAAAAGTCAGTGATATCATATTTTTTTAAATCAAATTCAAATTGTAAATTGCCATAGCAGTATTAAACCAAGAATGTGATGGTACCACAGTGAATGAAAGCAGTGTTGTAGGGTTTGTGGCAGCAGCATGAGTATACAGGATGTCTAACCTATAACCCACTTTAAATAACATCATAGCCTACAGTGTAGATATCCTTCTTATGGATCAAGTCATTAGGAATCAGGCCCAGATACACAATCCGGGGATCTCTGGGAATCTTATAACATAGAATATCTTCAAAAGACTGAATAACCCTATCCCAGAATTTTACACATAACCAGAAAACATGTGAGTTATTGGCATTCATCTGCCCACACTGTCTCCAACATTGCTGAGGAATACCGAGTTGCTTATTTTTTATTTTGTTTGTGACAAAAAAGCGTATAACATTTTTCCACCCAAATTCCCTCCACCTTCTAGAGCTTGTGGACGACTGTTGTGTTTCACAAATAGAATGCCAGTCATTCTTTGACAAGTTTGTATTCAGTTCTAGTTCCCATTTAATCTTAACATACCATGTATTGCTTCCATTCTGTTTCTGCAAACTTCTATAAAGTTTAGAAACAATCTTTGGAGTGTTTTTGTAAGCACCGATCAGAGTTTCAACCACCTCGCTACCTTCAGCTGAGATTTCTTTTTTTATTTCTGTATCATAGAAATGTCTGAGCTGTAAATACCTAAATTGGTCCCCATTCTCTAGCTTAAATTCTTGTTTAAGTTTCTCAAAAGTTTTAAACCTTTTTCGCTCTATGAGTGTACATATAGCTGTTATTCCCGTTTCACTCCACTTAGCAAATGTATTATCCATCACTCCAGGTTTAAATCTAGGGCTCTGAGAAGGCCATATCAGAAGTTTACTATCCCCTTCCAATTTATACTTCTTAACAACTTCATACCATGTTTTCAGTGTTCCCTCTAAAATAAAGTTCTCCACTTTTTTGTCTATACTCTCTTTTCCACCTAGTCTTGCCTGGGGTTGAAACTGCATCACGTTCAGCTCAATATGTTTCCATCTAGCTTGGTACTCTGAAGAGCACCAACACACAATGTATCTCATTTGGGCAGCATAAAAGTATTCCTTAAGATTCGGGAGAGCTAGACCTCCGTTCTCCCTGTCGATTTGAAGAGTCTTGAATTTTACCCTTGGTCTTTTACCTGCCCAGATTAGCCGAGATATTTGTTTATCCCAAGTTGTAAACTGAGATTCTGGGTCTCTGACTGGTAGTGAGAGGAAGAGATACAGCAACTTCGGCAACACATTCATTTCCACTACCTCAATTCTTGAACTAAAGTCCAATACTAGTGTTGACCATTTTGTCATATCTTTCTGTATCTTATTGTTAATAATGCTGTAATTTGCTTCATATATATTATTCAGGTCTTGAGTGAGTAGCACACCCAAATACTTCATTGATTTTGCTTCCCATTTTAGATGATATTTCTGACTGATTAGCTGGTTTGGTTTGTAGTTCAGAGAGAGTACTTGTGTTTTTGTGATGTTTAGTTTTGTTGGGCCACGCAGGCTTAGGACAGTCAAACAATGGACTTGGGCCTGCACCTCTGTAAAAGCCTCATTTGAGTTATTCACTGAGATCACAAAGAGGCCTAAAAGGACTCTTAATCCCAGAATCCCCAGAATCCCCCCTTACTTCACACCTACGCGTGAAGTAAGGGGGGGGACCGGAACCTCTCTCTCCTCATTGGAGGGGACCTGAGGTAGACCCCCCATGGAGCAGGCCAGGCTACAAAACTCCAAGACTTCCATTGTTCTTTCTCTTTCCACGCGCTGACTTCTGGTGCTCGGAGACCGAAGCTTATCTCCTGTTTCCTGCAACAATCTTCCTTTGTTTTAAGTTTTTGGCGCGCAGGTAATCCGCGGCCGGCAGTGTTCTAAATTCCGAGCTCGGATTGTCCAGTGAACGCATCTCAGTTTCTCGGAGAGCGTCAGACTATAACAGATTATCAGAAAGATAACGGTCTTATTCCGTCCTACAACGAAAGGACATCAACGGACATCTTTCCACTCGACGGAGAACCAACGAAGCCGCTCTCGCCGTAAGGGACCCTCGCCGCCATCAGACGCCTCTGCACCAGGACGGACAGAAGATCTATTTTATCGCCGGACTCTTTTCCTTTCACCAATCGCGGACAAAGCGATTCACAAGTGAGGCTTAATTAGGTCTGGGCAGAATTAGCTTTAGAGAGTGTTTTTAACAATTGTTGATCGAAGCAGAAACTGTAATTTTTCTCTTTGTTGGACCGCTGCGTCCTGAGTTTTAACTGTTTAAAACTCTTGTTGTTGTTTCGGACCGCTGCGTCCTATATGTGTTTAGCGTAACAGCGTTATAACCGGGTATTACTCTTCTGATCAGAAAGGCCAGTGTAAGCCGTATTAACTTGAATTCGGCTATTGGTTTGTTTCTGTGAATGAAGGGAATTACTCCGAGTTGTGGCGCGGGAGTCGGACTGTGATCCGGCCTCTTCAGGCACGCATTTCTCTTTTATTCTCTTTTATCCTCTTTTATTTCCCCTTCTACGAACATACACACACATATTCCCGTGTAAACGTACATCTGGAGACCAACTCCACCACCGCGCCATTACGCACAGAGATCTATACACTCGCGGCTATCCAGACGCCTCAGAGACACAGATCGTGTAGGGCCGAACTCGGTCTCTTTTAGACCTTAAGGCCACATTTAGGCCTTTGTTAGGTGTGCGCCATCGGAAGGGCGACCACGTGGGACGAAGTAATCTTCCCCCCCCTTTTCTCTCCCTTTCATCCACACACGCACGCACGCACGCACGCACACACGCACCCAGGTCTTTGTTAGGTTTGCGCCATCGTGAACGACCACGTGGGTACGAAGCCATCTCCCCCCCTTCTTTCTCCCTCTCTCTCTCTCTCTCTCTCTCTCACACACACACACACACACACACACACACACACACACACACACACACCCCTTCCACAAGCCTTAGCTTGATAATGTTTGTTGCTTAGATTAGTTTATAATAGTTATTTGTTTAATTAAGTTCATTGATTTTGGATTGATGTTGCTTTGTTTAAATAAATTCTGTTATAATTTAAGAGAGCAGTTGTTTGTGGTTACTGGTGTATTTGCATTGTGATATAAGCTGGGTGCGAAGGCTTTGTGTACGGATTTCACGCCTTCAATTTATTAAATATAGTTATTCATTATTAATAATATTAGTACTTAAATAACTAATTTGAGACTGATTTGAGTGATATTTTGGTTATATTTACCTGATTACAGGTTGGTGCCCCAAAACGAGATTAAACATAGTTTAATGATATTTTATTTATATTATTAATAATTAAGTATAATTATTAAAGAATATAACCAAAGTTGACTTGATACAACCCCAACAGTTTATAACCAGATATCTTACTGTAGTCATCTAAAACTGTCATAAGTATGGGGAGAGTTGTATTTGGATCCTGGAGGTAAGTTATAATGTCATCTGCAAATAATCCAATTCTATGTTCCGCCCTTGCTATGTTGACACCTTTAAGTTCTTTGTTTTGTCTGATGGCTTGAGCTAAAGGCTCTATGAACATTGCAAATAGAGAAGGACTCAGGCAGCATCCCTGACGAGTACCTCTGAACAGTTTAAAACTGCTTGTCAGATGGCCGTTGATTTTGATTCTGGCGGTTGGGTCTTTCTATAAAGATTTAGTACACTTAATGAATTGGTTATTAAAGCCCAGTCTTTCTAGCACTCTGTACAAAAAAGGCCAACTAACCCTATCAAATGCCTTTTCTGCATCAAGACTTATCAGGGCTGCTGTCTTTTGTTTTGTTTGTTTACTTGATCAATAATATGAAGGGTTCTCCTGATGTTATCCTGTGTTTGTCGTCCTTATATAAATCCGGTCTGGTCCTTGTCTATTAAATCAGGCAAAAAGTGTTCCATTCTAGCTGAGATTATTGATGTAAACAATTTATAATCTACGTTCAGAATAGAGATTGGACGATAGGATCCGCAACATTCTCTATTTTTACCTTCTTTAGGGATGACAGATATCACAGCTTCTTTCCATGAAGGTGGTGTCATTGCTTTATTGAGTGTCCAGTTGAAAGAGTCTAGCATTACAGACGCGAGATCCTCCTTAAATATCCTGTACCACTCATTCGGAAAGCCGTCACTCCCAGGGCATTTATTTGTTTTCAGTTTTCTGATCGCTATGTCCAATTCTTTTCTTGTTATGGGTGCAGATAAATTATCATTTTGTGTTTTTCCTATTGAGGGTAGATCTAGCGATAATAGGAACTGCTTTATTTGTTCTTTCTCTACAACCTCAGACTGTGAGTATAGGGTTTTGTAATAGTCTTTAAAGATTTCTTGAACTTCTTGCGGTTCATAGGTTATTTTATTGGTTACTGGGTCTCTAATCTTGTGTATTGAGTGTTGCATTTGTTGTGACCTGAGTCGTCTCGCTAATATTTTTGTTCCTTTTGAACCTGATTCATAGAAGGTTTGTCTTGCAAATCTCAGTTTCTTTTCAAGCTCATCATTCAAGAAGTCCCCTATTTGTTTTTTATTTTATTTTATTTGGTTAGTCAGTCCTCTATCTCCATTTTCCTGTTGCTGTTTCTCTAGTCCTCTCAATGTCTCTTGTAACTCATCATATTTTGCCTTCTTCATTTTGGTTAAGTATGCAGTTCTTGAAATTAATTTCCCTCTCATTATCGCTTTAATAGTATCCCATAGTATAGTTGGATCCACTTGACCATGTTGTTATCTTTTATACAGTCACTGATTTCTCTCTTAACCTCTTTTAAAACTGTATCATTGTTTAGAATTCCAACATTTAGTCTCCAGAGTGTATGTTTCGATCTGTTATTCATATTAATATTAAGGTCGATTGCATTATGATCTGATATGTCTGCTGTTCCTATTGAGCATTCCTTTACCCTGTATCTATCTATGTTGTTCATTAAGAAGTAGTCTATTCTGGAGTACACGTGGTGAGTAGCTGAGTAATGAGTAAAGTCTTTTTCTTGTGCATGAAGGCTCCTCCAGACATCGTACATCCCTGCTTCTTTAAGTAACATATTAAGGTCTTTTGACTTAAGGGATGTCTGTCTAATTTTGCTTGTTGTATCTATAGAGTAATTAAGAACCGTATTCCAGTCTCCAGCACAGACTAAAATGCCTTCACTTTCTGAGATTATTGTGTCAAACATGTTTTTAAGGAATTTCCTGTCGCTCTCAGGTGGAACATATACATTAACAAGTGTGACCAGAGTGTTGTCTATTCTTCCTTTTGTATTGATATATCTGCCTTCTTTGTCTCCCTTTTCCTTGATGAGGTCAAAGTTAAGAGAGTTTGAGATGAGTGTAGCCACTCCTCTTTTACGACTATTTTTGCAAGAACTAAAGAAAGTGTTAGAGTACCCAAACTTTTTTAATTTATCATGCTCCTGTTTTGACATGTGGGTCTCTTGTAAAAATATGACTTGCATCTTATCCTTTTTCATTTTTGCTAACACCCTACTCCTCTTAACCGGGTTTCTGAGGCCATTCACATTTAAAGAGACAATTTTCAGGTTATGAGATCCTACTGTGTACATGCCAAGTCTTAACTGGTTTGGTAGCCCCTCGTAACAGAAAAAGAACAAAGTTATGAACTAATGAACACATACAACAAGAACAGACCTCCAAAAGAGGGGGGAGACTCTTGCTCCTCCTCACCTGTGACCCCGTTGGCAGGTCGGGGGAAAAACCTCTCACTAAGAGAGGGCCCAGTCTTAAAGGTGGCCAGTAGAGAGTCAAATGAAATTAACTCAACCATCCTTACAGTCCAACACATCCTGAACAAAACAAAATCACCTCTCCCAGGCATTTAGTAAACAAAGAATGGCCAACTCAGGGTTTTTTTTTTTTTTTTACTATACCGGATCGGATCATGATGATAAAGTCCTCGTTCATACTTGCTCAACGGATCCCCTCTGAAACTCCTGTAGTCGTTCCCTCGCTCTCTGGGCAGCAGCCGACTCTCTCTCCCGGTGGCCCGTTGCTCACTGCCACCCCAACAGCTCACGGAGCTGCTCCCTCTGTGCTCATCGGCTCCTCCACAGGAAATCCTCGCTTCTTTAAATCCTGCAGCACCTCCTGGGCACTTGCGTACGTTCGGGGTCCAGTGTTCCAGTGAATCCGCATGCTCATATACGGTGTTTGAAAGCGGATCCCTTTTTCCTTCAGGACTTTCTTTATTCCAATATACTCTTTGTGCTTTTTTTACGATCTCAGTCGCATAATCATGATCAAAATATAGAGTTCTGCTACCCAGCTGGATTTTCCCTTTTTTCCAAGATTCACCTAGAACCGTCTCCTTAGTCGTATACTCCTGAAAGTTGATTATTATGGGTCTCGGTGGAGCTTCGGGTTGGGGTTTAAAGCCAGGAGAACGGTGAGCCTGTTGTATTTTTAGCTCCAGGTCTTGTGGTAAAGGCAGCTCGCTTCTAAGGAGTTTCTCAATGAACTTTGGTACAGAGTTTCCCTCCTCTCCCTCTGCTACTCCAAAAATGCGTATATTGTTCCTCTGGGACCGGGACTCTAGGTCCGATAGTTTTCGCTGCAGGGCCTTTTGCCGTTCCAGGCAGGTGCAGAGTGCCTCGGTCGCCTCCGCAGCCCACTCCTCCACCTGCTCCACCCGTGTCTCCGTTTCGCCAACTCGGTCAGACAGACCCTGCATCTCCGTTGAAAGGCCGTCTAGTTTTCTCTTGATTTCTTGTCCCACCTGATTAAGCTCTTTTCTCAAGTTATCGTTATCCCCCTTTAGGTCATCCTTTAGGTCTTGTATTGCTGTAATTATATCTTCGGGGTCTAAGCTTGAGCCTGGGATCTTCTGCCCGCTTGCACCTTTAGCTGCGCTGCCGATGCTAGCTTGAGCTGCTACAGTGTTAGCTTTCGCCGCCGAGGAACTTTTATCCTGATAGTTCAGCATTTTTTCTTCCCCTTTAAGGCCTTTTGTGAGTTGTCTCCCACTCATCTATAACCAAACTGTTAAGTATCGTTTTTTCGAGTTCTAGGGAGGGTATTCCTCAATACGTCTGGGAGAGCGATTTCACATGCGTGAAATCGCATGTGAAATATGTATCTTTTTACATGTATAAATAGTTTTTATTGCCCATTAATAAGCAAACAGTTAACTGATGTGAAAAAGTAAATGTTCACTGTCTATCTATGTTCCTGTATAAAACACTCTGCTCCGCTTACAGAGATCAACAGTAGTGCCTGTCGGAAATGTCGTTTGTAAGATGGAGAATGAATCTAATATGGAATCTGTTAGTACAAATAAACGACCGGCCTAAAGCAGAACACAGACTCCTTCACAGACTCTCACATGTTTATGACCACTTACCTCCTCTGTAAACTTTATGCCGGTAAATATCCAGTGTTTCGTGGCCGATGATGATGCTTGTTTGTGTACGTACGAGCACGTATGATGAGCATGCGAGTGAGAGTGAACAACAGGTTACTGGTGCAGTTCACCTAACGGCCGGCAGTGTCACTACGAATGCAGTATTTTATAAGTTACATATAGCCCCTTTAAGATGTTTAATTGAACATCAATTCAAACTTACTTTCTTTGCAGGTCTTCAGGGGGTATTTTAGGATCTGGTGCCGGACCCAGTGCCGTCATGTCTCTTTTCCGTAACTCCGCCTTCACTGAGACTTTCCCAGCTGGAGGGGTCAACCTGCCACTGGGTTCACCTTTGTACGTGGGTGTCTCTGTAACAGAAAGAGAGCTCAGATTTGTTGTTGTTCTGGAGGAATGTTACGCCTCTCACTCACCCGATCCTCACTATTACCAGCGATACTCTCTCATCCAGAACAAGTGAGTGTCCCTCTTCTCTTTAGACTCAGAACATTGTTTGTGGAGTTAAACTGAAATGGAGAAAAGTGAGATGTAGTGTAATATGCTTTATGGACTTGGTGAGCTCTTTTTGTTCTCTCTGCCAGGTGTTCGACCGATGCCCAACAGGTGTCTGTGATTGAGAGCGGCATGTCTTTGCGTGCTCGTTTCTCTGCCCTGCTCTTCCTGCTGGAGGACGATTATAGAGCCATTTATCTTCACTGCAACATAAGCCTGTGTGACCGAGAGAGATTTCACTGTGTCCCAGTAAGTCAAACAGTTCACTTCATCAATGAGTTGTTCATCCATAATCACTGCTGCTTAAAAAAATGGACAGTGACAATATCTGCTCTTTCTGTATCCTCTCCACCATGAAGTCCTGTCGAAGGAGGAAATATCGCTCTGTTTCCAGCTCTGTTGCTATGGCCCGAGTCACCATTGGACCAATTGCTTGTGAGTAAAAATATGATTTAGTCTGAGGGCTGATGTCCCAACACAAGAAACTGTGTGGAAATAACAAGCATGTTTTTTGTTATTTCTCTTTACTAATCTTTAGGGGACAAGTCAACTAAGTGAGCTGGTTACACCAACACATCCCATAATGTCATATCATGAAGACGTTTCTCTTATGCACAAGACATGAAACTATTTTAAAAACTGGTTTAACCTTTTATAATCAAACTTTTCACACTCACACACAGTCTGCTCTGATTCTTCTGTCCTTTGTAATGATTGTGTAACAAATCAACAATAACAAAGAAATAATAAAATGTATTAAAAAAACATGTTACCAAACTCTTCTTCATCGCTGTGGTCATTTTGGGTGCAGACATGATTTTAATATTTCATTAAATATAACTTTATATGTTCTTTCAGCTTGTTTTAAATTACATTTGTCTTGAACCAATATTGTTTGAAAGTAGATTATTAAACTAATGACAGATTTTCCAAGTTAGGTGAAAACTGTAGCCTATTATGCAAGTTTGCAGGTGGTATAAATAAACACTAAATAAAGTGTATTTGGGTTACATCTGCATTTGAGGGATCAACATATATGTTTTTATCTATATTTTGATCTATTTCTACAGATTAAAAATAGATCTAAGGAAGATATCGGCCGATATATCGGTATCAGATTTTTCCCCTCCCAAATATTGATATTAGTATCAGCCCCAAAAATCCTGTATCGGTCGGGACCTAGTATCTTTATCAAGGATTAAACCATATTTTTGTTCAATTTGTCAGAACAAACTCAGTCTTAAACCCTTTTACAGTTTTCACCACTGAACAATGAAGGTTAACATTCAGAAGGTTATTGAACAGACTGAAATAACATTGAAGCCTCTTCAATACCTACAAAAGGAAACCAGACCATCACAGACAAATTATACTTTTTCTTTAAAGTAAATCTTAGTACCTGTAACCGCTGCCACCAGGTAGGTACAGCACACTGCAGAAACAGAGAAACAGAAACAGTGTCAAGCTGTAAGGTTTGGTAAGGGTAAGGGAAGGGAGGTAGGCAGGAGTCAGGCTATCTAAAGGGTGCTGGTGATTGGGAGATGCAGGTGGATTTGAAAACACATTGTTCCACGGGAAAAAGTTTGCACTAGCCTGAGGCCTGACATAGTATTATGGTCTGTGAGTCAGAGGATAGTTTATCCTGTTTCTACAAACTCTCTACAGACTCGACTCTTTTCTTGTCTCTTGTGTAATGTTAGTGTAACAGGCCCTGTATGGAGGACTGTTGCCAGATTAGATTTGTCCTGTTAATAACAGGGAAATAATGAGACAAAGCAATGTAATGTTTCTTATCCTCGCTTCTTCTAGTCTTTATTTTTATACATATGTTTATGTATTTCAGTTTTACTTAAACTGTATTTTGGTTTTCATGTCTTTCTTCAAAAACAACACTTTATCCACATTTCAACACAATATGCACAGAAATATACATAAACTTATACTTAGTCTTATATTACATGCAAAAGTTCTCAAAACTACAAAATAAATGTTTCTGTGTGTTATTATTCTTTAAACAAATATAAAATAATTTGGTTCTGCTACTTAAGAGCATAGACTGTAAAAATAATGGACGGGACAAGGTCCCCGGTCTAGTGAAGCTTTTATTTTTAGAGCTCCCCCTACTGACTGGCTGCAGTATAGGTCATAAACCCTGCCTCCTCAATGATGGGATGTGGGTCAAACTGTAAAGCTAAAATACTCACACATAATTTTTTTCCAAACCTAAACTCTGCTGTGATCATTAGTTATTATCACACTACATTGTGTTCAAGTTCTCATTTTTCTGTGAAGTTTGTTTTAAATAAGCTATTTGAGGTTAAAAAACAGGATTTTACGTCATATTTGACGATGATTGACAGCCACAGATCTTGCGTAGCTCTCTTTGTGAATAGTAAAAGTTACGTAGTGAAGGAAAGCCGAGACGCCATTGAATTTTTTCGTTCAGTTTTTTCGTCTTTTTTGAGCTGGCAAAATGAGTTGTTCTGCAGTAAACTGTTCTAACCAACCTGTTGGATCTAAGGGATCTTTTTTCGGTAAGTAAAAAAGTGATTCATGTGTCATTGGTTAAAGTTGTTATCTAGCTAGCTAACACATAAGTAGTCTAAGGTTAGCTGAAATGTTGTAAAGCTAGGTTACTTATCCGGCATGATTTATCTTTTTATTTTATTTTATTAAATGAGCAAACCTAATAACTGACATGCTATGTTTCTTGATATTGTTATGTCGTTATTGTGATTGAAATTGAAATTGTATTTAAAACCAAGAATCGTAATATAAAATCCGCTCATAGATGCGGTTCATTGACTGTACATTTATTTTACAGCAAAAATAAAAACGTCTGGTAAGGTCTCAAAAGTATCTAGGGCAAAAACAAAGTGACATAATTGTAATCTGGCCTGCATCATTACTAATGTGTACATGTTTACAGTCTGAGTGATAAGTGGGCTATACCGAGAGTAACAGGTTTTACTTTCACCGTGCAGGCTGAAATTCATAGGACTATATACGAGGGTAGAATATTTATCTATGTATCCAGATAAAACTGAAGGTAAGATCTGATTTAATATAACTGTTACTGATTTAAGAGACTAACCGAAACGTGAACACAAACATCAACAACCGGCGGGGTAATGTAATATTAACCGAGCATCATGCTGCTTAAACGTGATAAATATTCTGCATTGTCTTCCACACACACCAATTCAACAGTCACAAGTTGATCATATTGTACATTTAATGACGCTCATTGAGAAATTGTTCTAAAAATTGACAAAACCTGACAAACATTGCGGTGATTGTGACTGTATCTGTATTTATCACCTTTGAAAGGAAGGTGTTAATGCAGGAGACCAGTGTTACGCACAACAGGCTGCTGTTATTGTAGTTAGGAGGAGACATAGGAGGAGACAATAAAAGAAGGCATAAAGATCGCGTTTTCCCCCACACATGTTAATATGTTTTAAATGTCATGCATTTATTTTTGATTTCGCTTCAATAATCGTTAACGAAGAGAAACACCAGGATTAAACTACAGGCTATTGTTGCCTTAGCCAAAGAAAACTGAACATTCACAGCCTCTGCATTCAAAAGAATTTCAACATTTACATTTATGTCGTCCTGTTTCCCTCTTCACCAACATTTTATTTTAAACTGGGGATTTCCTTTTTCTCAGGTTGCGCTCCTCTCCATAATGTGCTCGTCTCCTCCCTCTAAAGCTGCTGATACTCTGTATGACGCTTTGATTGGGGCACCTCATCAATAGAATACTATTTTATATTTTATAAGCAGTTTGCCACCGCACTGCACTTTAATTCTCCAAAGGCATATGAGTATGTGCGTGACAACTTAAACAAAGCTTTACCACACAGTCACACCATCCGCACAGCTGATCCAGGATTTACTGTAGCATCTTCTACAGCACTAAAAGGTCATGTACAGGCAAACAGAGAAGGGAAAAGAAACAATCTGTGCTCTCAAATAACAAAGCAGTCTCAAATATTTTGAGGAATTACAGCTAAAAAAAATTCTACTTTGCATACAGTACATCCTCTGATAAATAAAGTGAAGTACTTTGATTGTATTTCTGTGGTGTTCCTGTAGGTGACCATGATGCAGCCAGCAGCACGTTGTGAAGGTGGACGCCATCATCTTGTCTTTGCAGTGCTGATTCTGAAGAGAACGCCTTCACATAGGACTCAAAGGTAAAATGATCTCTCATATGATTGGACCGTTTTATTGTAACCGCTATCAGCATCAAAGTAATTTTAGTAACAATTTATAATCCTTCCTAAAATGTAAGGAAGACTAGCAGAAGATTTTAACAGCCTCTATGGTTTTGCAAGAAGTTCATGTTTAAATTGTTCTTCTTTCTGTCTTCAAGGAAATCAATGCCCAAAGGAAACAGCAGTCCAGACTCTGATTCCAGCTCCGGTGAGGTTCTGCACACAAATTGGCTGTCTGATTATCTGAGAATATTTAACATTAGTTTAATTCATCAGGCTGGCCCATGTGATGACAGTTTACAATAATCTTCAATAGAAAGTGGCAGGAACACTTTTGTCTTAAAGCATACATTCATAAAGCTGATCATATTATTGGATTCATCATGTCTTATTATATATTTTGTTTTTCCTCTTAAATATTTATCCTGTCTTAAAAACAAACTTTAGAAGCTGAAGTTTAGCAGAAGCTGAGGACAGATCTGATTTCAGGTCTGAGGCATAAACATCACAGTAAAATTCATTATACTTTACATTTAACTCCATGATTGCTTTTCTCTATTACAGAAGATGCCCTCAGATTCAGAGCCATCAGCAACCCCTGACAACATGGAGGACTCGTCCCCTGAGCGTTTCCTGTCCTCTCTTGATGGAGTTCTTCTCTTTAGTCATTAACTCTTGAAAACAGCAGCACAAAATGCCAGACTGTTTGACAAGTCTGTGACTGAATAAATGGAAATAGAATCTCATACGTATCTTGCTATGCTTATTGGCTTTTAAGTGTTTAATATTAAATAAGTTTGAAGGCCATTTATCTCAGACGAGACCAGCTGAGCTTGTCTGTTAGCTTTGCTGTTGTCTTAGCTGTTGTTGGTCAAGAAGAAATGAATGTCAGTTCAAGGCCTTTTCAAATGTGAACTATAAACTTAACTGCTAAATTATTTTACTGTGACCAACACTTTGTCTTGCTCCAGTTAATCAGAGACAGTCATATCAGATTTTTAAAAAGTTTATTTAAACATTTTATGAAAAGAAATCTTCAATAAACAACCCATGGCTTCATTAACCATGTGGAAAATAAGAAAGGGAGACCATCAGGTCGAACTGCTGGGACATAGGAGAAAGTATAAAAAATAATTTAACAAAGAAATCCAAACAAAAATCAAATAAAGTAAAGAGATCCTGGATGATTGTTTGACTGTTAAACTATGATGGAAAAGCAAATCCAACACAACCCTCCAGCATCTGGCCTTTCAAACACAGGGCAACATCATGTTAAGAAAAATAAATTAAATATTGACCTGGATCTCTGTGTTTTATCTGAGGATGACTATGGTAGCCTTCTCACTGTTCACTGTCACAAAGCTCCAGACTCTGTCCACCTTCTTCAGACGTCGATCAGCTCCTCTGGGTGACGGCAGAGAGGACTCCTCATCTGGGAGAGCTGCTGGTGTAAGGTCATTTCTACCACAGTGGATGAGCAGGGCATCTGGCACAGCTCTTAGTCCAAGCACAGGTGA